GGAAACTTAATTAAAGTTTGTTACTTGAGAAACAATATTTTTAACTATAACCCTGCTATGGGAAATATCTTATGGAATTTAGTTATTTTTAATTTTCTGTTAGCTTAAAAAGTAACAAAGAGAAAAATGTTTTCATTAATTAATTCATTAAATTAGAGGAGAATCAAAAATCATAAATTTTGTACAAGCCTTTCATTCATCATTAAATTAATTAAAATAAAAAACCCTGAATCATCGACTAAACCAAACTAGAAATAAAATTAAATAAAGTTAAAACATAAATGCTTGATTATTATTTAATAGCCACCAACTGAACGAGAATAGCTTCAAGATAAATAATAATTTTTTAATTTATGTTATAATGAATTTGCTAGCTTATATTTTATGCTCTTTCTACAATCTTATTTGTCTTTAAGTGTTTTCAATTCTTTCCAAATCTTTATATGGATGCTACTTAAAGAAAATTTATACTTTTAACTAGGTTTTATATTTTCTTCAATAAGAATTAAACAGTCTCAATAAACTATGCGCTACTTTCAATTTGACAATTATATAATAGTTAAAAATTTAATTGATTATATATATTTAATTTTCACTATTTTTGTTCAAGTCTAAATGATTAGAAAAATGATTAAAATAATTAAAACAATTTAGGTTAATTCTTAAAAATACTGTTTATAAAATATTATATTCAATACGTATTCTAGATTTAATTGAACAAGTAGAAATAAATATTACATTATGCGCTACATTTACTTGCGCTTTCTTAAATTTTCTGATTTTGAGAGTTCTTTGACAATTTTTGAATAATTACTGATTTCCATGGTGGTAAAACTAGAATCAGAATAACTAATAAAACTATAATTTCTTAGAATTACAATATTTTCTAACTGTTATTGGAATTTCTTACGCTCAGTTAAAAAATAATTTGAAATACTGAAAAGAAAAATTTCAGTAAATTATATTCTAACAGATTCATTTTCAATGTAAGAAAGATAATTGTTAACTTTTGTACCTTGAGAAGCATTTTACATTGAATCATTTCTGGCTTTACAGCTAATCATCAAGCAGAAAACTGTATTTTATTCATTTTTTCTTGTTGGAATTTTTCCTCACATTTCATTCATTATTTTGCCTGAATAGATGACATCCTTTTGTCTATATTTCATACAATTAATTTTAATAAATTATTCTTATCAAGTATGAATGATGATGGTAAATTTCAGTTGCTATTTTTTTCTTATTAAGCTATAGAAGAATTAAATCTAAAGTTTGTGAATAAATTTAAGATTATTATAATAAAAATCCAATTGTCAAGAGTGTTACGATAGTTATTTTTATTCTACTCTATCAGTTTCCTATTATCCACTTTCAAATGATCATTCAGCAGCTGTAATCACTGCTTGGCAACTTAAGGACTTATTAATGGCGCAATATCCTGCATTTCCAGGTGGTACTTGACCTGTAACAATTAGTCGCTGATGTTCCAATTTAATACAATAGTTTATTTAACTGAAAATACATTGAGAGTATGATTATTTACTATTATTTCATTAAATGAATAAGCCAAGCAATAATCTCAATAACGAAGTCATCTGAATAGCAATTTCAGGCTTTACATTGAATTGAACCTTTGCAAATAATGATTTAACAGTTTTCATAGCTACAAAGGTAGGTGCTTTTAGAAAGCTGCCTCTGGAAGAAGATGAAGAGCAATACCTAGTAAATGTGGCGCTCATACTTACTCTACGAATTACGCAACCAACAGAGCTTGAAAAGATGTTTACATTTGAATCAAAAGACTTAATATATTTGTCTTCAAGTAAGCAGAGCATGTATCTACACATTAATAGATCTTTTAACATTGCCTTCTAACGATTGCTTATTAGTTTCTGGATACGCATATACTTGGAATGGCTAATCCAATATATATGAAATTTTGCACAGTAGCTGTGGTATCATTCACCAGTACTAATCATGCTGATGCAACAACAAAACAACATGCCAAGTATACATTGTTGCCTGCACTGATGGGAATGAATTAATTATAGGAAATAATTTATAACATATTTGAAAATAAATCACCCTATATTCAAATATCAGGTTTTATTAAAATAAAACCATCTATTCCAGTAAGCCTGATATGTTGTATTAGAGAATTGGATATGTTATTATTTGTATTTTATAAACTGAAATTAAATAAACCTGCTCCGAATAACATTATTCAAACTTGTAATTAAGGTTATTATTGCCAAGATTTATTGGAAGTATAATTCCTTTCGAATCAANTTTTCTAACTGTTATTGGAATTTCTTACGCTCAGTTAAAAAATAATTTGAAATACTGAAAAGAAAAATTTCAGTAAATTATATTCTAACAGATTCATTTTCAATGTAAGAAAGATAATTGTTAACTTTTGTACCTTGAGAAGCATTTTACATTGAATCATTTCTGGCTTTACAGCTAATCATCAAGCAGAAAACTGTATTTTATTCATTTTTTCTTGTTGGAATTTTTCCTCACATTTCATTCATTATTTTGCCTGAATAGATGACATCCTTTTGTCTATATTTCATACAATTAATTTTAATAAATTATTCTTATCAAGTATGAATGATGATGGTAAATTTCAGTTGCTATTTTTTTCTTATTAAGCTATAGAAGAATTAAATCTAAAGTTTGTGAATAAATTTAAGATTATTATAATAAAAATCCAATTGTCAAGAGTGTTACGATAGTTATTTTTATTCTACTCTATCAGTTTCCTATTATCCACTTTCAAATGATCATTCAGCAGCTGTAATCACTGCTTGGCAACTTAAGGACTTATTAATGGCGCAATATCCTGCATTTCCAGGTGGTACTTGACCTGTAACAATTAGTCGCTGATGTTCCAATTTAATACAATAGTTTATTTAACTGAAAATACATTGAGAGTATGATTATTTACTATTATTTCATTAAATGAATAAGCCAAGCAATAATCTCAATAACGAAGTCATCTGAATAGCAATTTCAGGCTTTACATTGAATTGAACCTTTGCAAATAATGATTTAACAGTTTTCATAGCTACAAAGGTAGGTGCTTTTAGAAAGCTGCCTCTGGAAGAAGATGAAGAGCAATACCTAGTAAATGTGGCGCTCATACTTACTCTACGAATTACGCAACCAACAGAGCTTGAAAAGATGTTTACATTTGAATCAAAAGACTTAATATATTTGTCTTCAAGTAAGCAGAGCATGTATCTACACATTAATAGATCTTTTAACATTGCCTTCTAACGATTGCTTATTAGTTTCTGGATACGCATATACTTGGAATGGCTAATCCAATATATATGAAATTTTGCACAGTAGCTGTGGTATCATTCACCAGTACTAATCATGCTGATGCAACAACAAAACAACATGCCAAGTATACATTGTTGCCTGCACTGATGGGAATGAATTAATTATAGGAAATAATTTATAACATATTTGAAAATAAATCACCCTATATTCAAATATCAGGTTTTATTAAAATAAAACCATCTATTCCAGTAAGCCTGATATGTTGTATTAGAGAATTGGATATGTTATTATTTGTATTTTATAAACTGAAATTAAATAAACCTGCTCCGAATAACATTATTCAAACTTGTAATTAAGGTTATTATTGCCAAGATTTATTGGAAGTATAATTCCTTTCGAATCAATTACCATAAAATTTCTGCTTGCTCCTATAATTCTAAATTATTTTCTAATGTTAAATAGCTTCCCTTTATTTATTTGTTATAAATTTTACCTAATGTTTTTAAAATCTATTTATTTGTGATCAACAAAATAGTGAGACATAGTTAAACGAAATTCTCAATAAATTCACTTCGCTATATCTTAACCCAGCTTATCACGAATCAGTACTTAACTTAGAATTCTCTTCTAACTGGATGAATGATAAATCCATATAAACACTGCTTAATTAACTTTGATTATAAGAATAATAAACCTTATTTCTTAAAATAATTTTATTTCAAAATTAGAGAGTCAATTTGATGTAAACTTTATATGAATAATCTATCTAGAGCTATTTTTATAGTTGAGACTCTATATAATAATTTTATTATGGATAGGAAGTTTGTAAGGTTAGATGATCATTAAATGAGATTAAAACTGATGAAAATAGATATCAAATTTAGATTAGTTCCACTTAGTTAAACTAAATGAATTAGCATTCTTAATTAAATTGATTGATTAAATACATTTTGAATTTTCAAATTATATTTAGTGATTAATGTTAGATCTCTATGGTAATCATAGAATTAAACTATTGATGAATTCTAAAAATTGCATTAATCTATACTTAAACCTGAGATGAATATATTAAAATTTTCGTTCCCAAACTAAATAATAGTTGAATCTTACAAATGCATCTTTAAATCAAAAAAGTTTTTACCACCACCAGAATTAAATTGAAATGCTCTAAATTAAAGATTGAAGTATTAATTAGAGTAGATTTAATATGAAAAAATTCTTAGCTATAAGATCTCCAAAAATTTAAATTCAAAATAAGAAAGCATATTGTAATTTTACATAGTTCAAATCCAAAATCAATGATTTAAATCCACTCTGCTATTATAATTTTAGATAATGAATGTACTTGATTGAGTAAATAAATGGTTTATCTCTAATCAAAATTGCTAATGTTAATTGAATATAGAGGTCTTATAAGTAATGTATCAACAGATATTAATTCAAAATTGATTTAACGGAGAGAGAATAACTTTGATTTTAATAAGGCTTAGGGAGAAAGACTATATATTGCATTTATAAACTCATAGAATAATGTATCTATTATTTTAGATAACTGATATTATGTGCAATTATATTTACCTTATTCCACAAATGAGCCCTAAATTTCGTAATAAAAATAATAGTAATCTTATCTATATTAATTATGATTATAAATTGCATAAATCTCATCTGTAGTTCTACTTTAACATATTTTGCATAGTTAAGGGTACTCAGAACACTCTCCTTTTATTAATCTCTTATAGGCTTATAGGCTGTTAATAATAGTTAAAAGGGCATTTTGCAAAATAATACTCATCCGCAATTGTTAAACAGGATAAACATAAGGAACAACAAAATCTATCACACATAGATTTTCCGCCTTATTTATAGCCTTCCTGACATTACACAATTCTCCCTTTAATATATGATTTAGGATGAAAGTATTTATTTGATAAGTATTGCATCATAAAACTTTAAATTCTTTAAATCCAACCATTATTTAATGAGATATTCCTCAATTACTATTATTGAATTGGTTAGATCATGTTTATAGCAATCTCCATTTGAGTTAGAAGTTGTGTATCCTTCTGAGTATATTATGCATTGTAAAGTTGATTCAAGAGAACAACAAACGTTATAAACAATTATGAATGTATGTTTTGCAGTTTAATATTTCAGGAGCAACAGTAAAATCATTAATATCAGAAAAAGTGCAAACTTCCTGATCATCCTGATTAATATATGCTCTTAAACAATTTGAAAGTTTTGGTTTTTGATAAATACGTTTTTAGTAATGAAATTAAATATATATTGTTGTCCTCACAAAGAGCACAACTTATTTCAAAACTCTCTCCTTCATCAAAATTTTCAAAATTACTATACAATGTACTTTTGTACAATTATAAATTATGGTATTAAGATAAATGAGAAATTAAAGTGATATTCGATTGTATTTTCATAATAATCAATGTCTTTTTGAATAGTGTTATGAAAACGCCATGTATAATATATTAAAGGTTAATTTCTCATCGCAAAGAATCTCAAATTTTAGTCAATCAATCTTTGAATAATCAATTAATTTCCTTTTATTAATTAATTATATCACAGATGTTAATAATAAGAATCAAAATTAAATTATCTGCTTGTGATATATTTATTATATTATAAGTATTGTAAATAAATAATAATTGATATTTTTAACATTGAAAATTGAAAAATCTAAATAAAATCAATTGATAATTTTTTAAATAAAGATTCTATTTATTCGGAATAAAATAATTAAATTAAAATATTTCTCCTTCAAAATATGTTTATTAGTGATAATATGAGTTTTTAGTATAATTTTTAAACTCACAATGAATTGCTTAAATATAATTTGAAAAAACTGAGCTAAATATTTTTATTAAATGAAAATATGATGGAAGTCTTTGGCAAACTAATAAAATGTTGAAAGATTGTTAAAATTGCCAATAATGAACCAAAGAATGCCAATACCTTCATTATAGTTCTGAATTAGATAATTAGCTAGTTGTTCCATATTAAGTAGCAGTAACTAATTAAATTATAGAACAAGAAAATAGATTCTGTAATATAAAGATAAACCAGAATAAGCCAGAATATTTGAAAATTTGGTGGGATAAATTATGAAATTTTATCTAGAATAAATACATATTCAAAATTCATTTTCTTGAATTATTTATTATTCAACATATCTAATATTAATCTTAGTTATTCTTAATGGAACCTGAGAAGTACATATTTCTTTCAAAATAAATTTAGTGCTCTTGCTTAACAAACAGAATACCCTAATAATTTTAAAACTAACTATTTTATAGTTTAAAGATTATTTCTATTAGTCATCTGTCACAATTTTACAATTTTTTTGGTGATTTCTTGTTATGCGTATAAAAATTTCCACAAAAATTGAACTTCATGACGAATGAAATGACGATTAACTTCCATTTCTCGAGACCACTTTACTAAATTGTAAGTCCTTGTCCTATAATCACTTAAGATGCAAACTGATTTCCATAATAAAAAGTGTTAAAATAAGTTTTGAACATCATTTCTTCAATTTGATTGTTCGCTGTATTATTAATGTATATTTGTGATAAATTAAATATAAGTAGAATTTGTTACAAATTTGGTATTTGAGCATTAAAAAAATAATTTACTGAGATTTTTGTTAAAGTGCTACTTAATGGAGTATATATTTCGATATTTTAGGACTTTACAAAACCTTGAAATTATAAAAGGTTTCATCCAATAATTATAGTCAGGGGGGTTTATATTGGTTCCTGGCAACTTGACAATAAATTTAATTTAAAACTCAATAAACATCTTTAGTTAAATTACATTATTTGAAAGTTTAAAAATAGTAATTGATTAATAATTATTCCAGAATGAGTAGAAAATTAAATGCATCTTTGAGTGACGAAAAAGTAAATGGAAGTTAAATAGGGTCATTTTTTAAAAAAAGTAATAGATATTATTCAAATTATTGTAAATGAGTTTTGAGATTTAGAATATTGATTAATTAAAAAAACATACAGGTTAACCATAAAATAGTTATAGAATTATAATTTGCAATAGATAATATATAAGAATAAATTGATATAAAGTTTATTTTGATTTTATAAATAATATAAAATTTGTTTAATAGAGAATGGAATAGGGTGAGATGAGAATATGTTAGAAACATAAGATGGAGATAATTATAGTGGATCTTGAAAGTAGGATTGCTTAGGAGGATAGATGTTTATGTGTGAGATGTATAATTGAGAGAATGGATAAGAAGAGAATGAATTTGATAGATGAAACAAGGGATATGATAAAAGAAATGAAGATAAATGAATAGAATTAAGGGATTAAGGATAACAAGAAGAGATTAGATAATTTGAATGCAATTGAATAATTATTAAGGGAACTTAAATAAAATATGGATTCTATATTTGATAAGATATTTAGTAATATTCAATTGAAATTGAGTTAGATATCCTAAGATATAAGTAAAATTGAAACATAATCAATTATATTTAATTTTTAAGATGATATTGAAAGATTATCTTAATATTAAGAATATTAAATTAATGAATAATCAATTAATTTAATTGAAAATGATCATCAATTTATAGAACAAATACAAAAATAATTAGAGTCTTTTATAAATTCTGAATAATATAATAAATTAATGAATAATTAGAATATTATAAGAAAATCTGAATTAAAAGAGGATTTAATTAATAATGAATAGAAATATGAAATGATAAAAACATAAGATTATGTATATTATTTAATATTTATAATGAATTAGAAAACACCTGCATTGAAAATGATTTGTTAAGAACATACAAAAGAGATTATAATGTTTAATTTGAATGGAAATTGTAATTCATAACCGAGAATGGCATGTGTTAAATGTATTTAATAATATCCTGCATAATATACTCCTTTAGAAGATGTTATTATTTAATGGGAATCATATCAAAAGAGAAATTAAAGTAATTTGAATGAATTATAAAATACAAGGAATTCTATTTAATAGAAAATACTAAAAATGATTTAAGAAGTTAAATTATAAAATGATCAAATATTTGATGAATTAATATAATCTTTAATTAATTAAGAATAATCAATAGAATAGATGAATTAGAATGAAATGAATAATAAATCAATTTATTAATTAACATCTAAT